ATGAAAAATTTTTAGCATGAAAAAATTTCCAATATATAAAAATAATTTCCAGAAATAAATAATGATAATTTATTTATTTTTAAAAATTATTATCATTTAAAAAATTTGAATTTGAAATGTTTAATTAACAATTTATAATAATTTTTTATTTGCAAATTTAACTTTTGAAAAAAAAATCTTATTTTAATTTGAATTTGAAGTGCTGATTAATAATTGATAATTTCTTATGGTAAAGTAAATTGTTAACACATTATTTAAATTCGTCATGTTAAATTAATAATTTATAATTCTTATTGTGAAGCAATTTGCTAAGCTGTTTTTTTTTCAATTTAAATTTGAAATGTTAATTAATAGTTTGAATAAAGCTTCCTATTATAAAATAACTTTTGAAGTTATGCAAAGTAACGAATGATGCAAAAAATAATCTTTCCTTTTTTTTAAGTATTACTTAAGATATATTTTTAATCATTCAACATTTTCAATACATCATAGTTATCTGAGAATATTTAGGATCATTTAAAAATTATTACTTTAGTTTTTTGATTTCTTATAAAGAATATAAATTTGAAAAAGGCATTTTTGCTAAATATATTAAAATTATATATAAGAATACAAAAATGTTTGAAAATGATCGAAAACATATGACAAAAATTATTTGAAACATTCATTAAAAACCTAAAAAAATTTTTTTTAAAATATCATATGGTCGACTTTATTTTTTATGAAAAATAAAAAATGGAGTAAAAATTAAAATTTTCAGAAAAAATTAATTTTTATTGTGAAATGCAATGTTTTAGATATGCATAACAATATTAAAAAAATTGTTTGTGAAATTAAAAATTGAAATTAATAAATTATTAATAAATAATAATTTATGAAATTAATGATATAAATATGCCAAGATATCATAAATCAATTATTTGCAACATTTTTTTTCCTATTATGTTTATTATTTTAATTTCTATTTAACCATCTTTAATTTTTATTTTGTTCTTATGCAATTTTGCAAAATGTATACATTTTATTATAAAATTATTATAAAATTTATTATAAATTTTATTATAAAATTATTATAAAGAAATAATCATTGTGTAACTATTTCAAATAATAATGTAAGTATTATTTTAAAACAAAGTTTCCTTTCGTTTCGTTTTTTTTTTTTTAAATTTAGATTAAAAAACTTTTTCTAATAATAAAATTTTCATCAATTTCTTCCTTTTCCGTTTTTTTTTTCTTCTCTTTTTTATTTCAATTGAATAAAAATTTTATTTTACACAAAAATTTACAAATATTATTTTAAAAGCAAATTGTAGAAATACAAAATTGATTGATTGATCGATTTGATTGATAATATTATTAATATTTAAAAAGAATTTTAAACATAATTAAGCAAAATATGCTAATTTTTATGACAAAATTATTCATTCTGACTATTTTGCATATGTGTCCCAATGGAACTATCACAAAATTAAGCATTGATTTCTCTTTTTTCCGCATCATTTGAAATTTAAATATTTCATTTTTCATCTTTTATTTAAACAAAAATTTCATACTAACCCTTGAAAATGGTACAAATTTAATGATTTTATAAATGAATTTAACAAGCAATTATTATTCGCTGTGCTAATTTATACATTCATTAGACGAAATATTAATAATTTGATCGCTAATAATCGATCATTTAAAAAAAAAAAAAAAGAAAAAAAAGGGAGAATGAATGATCTTTTGTACTGATCAAAAATTATTTTTAATCTACTCAAATGGAATAATGCAGCTACTAATAGAATTAATGATGACATAATGCATAGAAGAGCATTAGTACCACGTGAACAATTAGATAATTTAGTTCATGTGATAGGTACTAATAACTCAATCTCTGCCGTAAATATCATTTTGATATGTGCCGAAAATTCGGCTCATCCAATGCTTAATGATAATTTAGTTCAGATGATAAATGCTGAAAGTCCCGTTTATATGATATCTATTGATAATTCACTTTATATAATAAGTATTATCGTCAGTGATTCATTTCATGCATTACGTGCTAATAGTTTATTTCGTACACTACGTGGTACTTCAATTAATACAGTACGTATTAATAATTTATTTCGTATGATGCGTAATTCAATTCGTGGAATACGTGGTGGTAATTTAATTCACGGAATACGTAATGTTTCAGTCAATACGATACGTATCGATAATTTGTTTCGTATAATGCGTAATTCAATTCATACAATATGTGCTAATAATTTAATTCGTCGTATTTCTATTAATGCAATACATATTGATAATTTATTCCGAAATAATAGAATGCGACGTCTTTCATTTAATGCGTTACGTATCGGTAATTCATCTCGTATGATTTCTGATCCAATTCGTGAAGTACGTGATATTTTACCTAATACAATACGTAGCAATAATTTCTTTCACATACTATGTGATTTCTTTCATATGATACGTAATCCAGGTTATACAAGACGTATTAGTAATTTACCACGTACGTCAGATGTGAATAGTAATGTACCTCAGTTGAGAAGTGCTTTAAATTATTCATCTATTTCATCTGTTTTAGCACAATATGGCATTCAAACTTATCCAATAAATCCTATATGTATAATTGAGCCAGAATTAAATGATGATGCTTTACATATTATACGTGAATATAGTATGATTAATGAGATACGTATCGGTGATTTACTTCATATTACACGTACGAGTAATTCAACTTATACATTATATATTGGTGATTTAACTTATGCAGTGCATAATGCTGAAGCATATCAAACGGTGTATATTAGTGATTTTGTTCGTGTAGTATTTTCTGGTAGTATACTCTATATAATACAATGTACAAATTCACTTCAAATGATGCGTAATTTACTTCACGCAGCGCATGCTTTTAATTCATTTCGCACAATAAGCGTAAGTAATTCAGTGCATGCTAATAGTGCTGCATCACTTTATATGATACGTATTGGTAATGTAGCTTATATGATAACAACAAGTGATTCAATTCACGTGGAATGTTTTGGTAATTTGTTTCATGTAACAAGTACACGTAATTCAGCTAGTGCAATACGTACTTGCAATGTAGGTGAATCAGCTAATATAATGCGTGATGGTTGTAGTACAATTCTTGTTGTAAGTATTGATGGTCGTTCACATACCATACGTACCGATGGTTCAGTTTGTGCATTAAATTCCGGTCATCCAATTCAGGTGATACGTGCCGATAATTCAATTTATATGATGCGTACTGATAATTTAATACTCGTAGTATTTGCTGATGAAATACTACCAATGATTGGTCCGGGTAATTTACCTCCATGGATGATTGGTAATTCAGTTTATGTAATATATGCTGGTAATTTTGTTCACGTATCACGTGATGAAAATTTATCATATGTGATACGAACGTATAATTTAACTCAAACGATGCGTGATGGCAATTCAATTTATGTGATACGTAATAATAATTTAGTTCATGTATTGTATACTACTAGATCAGCTAATAGAAGAAATAGGTAAATGTTAGTTATTTTATGATCATCAGAAGTTTTTTTTTTTCTTTTTAAATAAAATTTAATTTCTACAGTGTCTTCAGAAAGCATCAATTTTGCATATGAAACTTTTTGAAAGCATTAAACATTTTTTCTAAAACTTTTTTTTTTTTTTTTTTTTAAAGCTGAAATGATAAACAAATAAACAACATTCAGTGCCTAAAATTTGATCATTTTTATACCTAGTAGTTTTATCGATATGATTAACGATATGAAATTATTATTTCAAAATTTTTTAAAATTAAAGAATAAAAAACAAAACAAAGAAACGATATAAATAAAAATGAAAGAAAAAGAAAATTAAAAATAATCAAATTTTCCTTTTCAAAAAAATTTTTTTTTTAAATGTATTTGAATGATAACTGCTAATTAAACTTTGTTAAAATATTACTTTTACTAGAATATAATCATTATCAGTCAGTTATCATATAAATACTTTTAACATTTCTGACAAAAAAAAGTTATCATTACAAGGAAATTATAAGAACAAAAAAAGAAAAAAAAAAAAAAAAAATCGAAGAATCAGGAAAAGACGCAATTTTTCGACAGATTCAATAAATAAACAATTTCTTTTCCATCTGAGCGCACAAAGAACTATCACAGTTCATTTCACTGTACTCAACTTATCATACTCTGTTATCATTATCACCCATTCCCTCCTCTTTCAATCACTGATAACACTTAACGCTGTCTCTTCAACAAACTGAAAAGCTATCTTTGCTGATTGCATTTGATTATCAATGTCATCTTGGTATAAGGTTGTCAACCTATTCCTCTTCCTAAAGTAATATCATAAAATGAGTGATGCAAACACTAACCTAATGGAAAAAAAGTAAGATTTAAATTTCACATATTACTTTGTTAGCGATATTAGGAATAAATTTAAGTGATAATAATAATAAATAATAGTAAATAATAGTAATAATAATGAATTTTACAGTTTTTAATTACTTAGTAACACTGATAAGTTGCATTTATTAATTGATAAGAATTAATTAAAAATTTTTTTTTTGATTTAGTCATATTCCAAATTATGGGTCAACAACAAATTTGGTTGAAGAATTTCACTGTCACAGTGATGAGGGTGACAAGCCAACAACCGATCGACGAGCCATTCGTACTCTTTGGACATCTGCGATTATTTGCTTAATTTTTATCATTTCTGAAATTATTGGTGGCTATTTAGCTCAATCATTAGCAATTATCACGGATGCGGCGCATTTGGCATTATTTTACAACTTTTTTTTTTTTTTAAATTTCAAAATGAAAAAAACTGTTTGAAAAACAAAAATTTTTTTTTCTTAGTTGAATATTTATACTTTTCCAATAATGAAAATTTTACATTTCATTTATCAAACACAAGGAAAATTTAATTTTTTTAAATTTTGAAAAAAAAAAAAAGAAGAGAGAGAAAAATTTCAGTTAACTGATTTTGCCGGTATGTTGGTATCATTATTTGCTCTATATGTGTCCAAAAAACCCGCGTCACAACGAATGAGTTTTGGTTGGCATCGTGCTGGTAAACTTTTATAAGTACATAATTAATACGTAAATATACGTGAATACGTCAATTTCAATTTTGATTAAATCAGTTTTGATCATATCATATTCATTAATGATAATAAAGTTGTTGAGTTCTGATATAAATTTTTTCATAAAATTTTCACTTAAAAAATGCAAAAAAAAAAAAAAAAAAAGAAACCGAAAATAGAAAAATGATTATTGAGCGCATATAGTTTAAGTATTTCTAAAAAAATTTAATAAAAAAAAAAAATTTAATAAAAAAAAGAAGTTATTAATAATAAATGAAAAATTTTTTAAATTTTTAAAATTTTAATTCAAAACATTTATTAATGAATTAAAATAATTCAGAAGTAATGGGTGCATTCATTTCCGTTTTTATGATTTGGATCATAACCGGAATATTAGTTTATATGGCAATTGATCGAATCACTAGAGGTTCATATCATATTGATGCATCTATTATGGCAATTACCGCTGCACTTGGTGTTATCGTTAATTTTATGTAAAATTTATCAAATTTTAATTTTATCAAAAAATTTATCAAACAATCATTCCTCTCATAATTTTATAAATAATTACTATTTTAATGATTACTGTTAAGAAAAATGGCTAAAATTTTAGCAAAAAATTGAATTTTGATTTTTAAATATTAACAAAAAAGATGAAATAAACATTAAATAATATTTGAACGTTTAATATTTGTATTTATTAATGAGAAAAAAGAACAAACAAAGTGGATGAAATTAAATTTAAGATGGAGGAAAAATTGAAATAACTCAAATTTTATCAACCACAAAAGAAAATATTATTATTGTGTAATACTTAAAAATGTATTAATAATTTTTATTTACATCTAATATTACTTAATTACTATAAAAATAAAATTACACATAGATTTTTTTTTTTTTTTTCATTTGAAAAATAATAATAATTTTAGTATGGCAATTTTGCTTTATTTTGGTGGACATACACATTCTCATAGTGGTCATGCGCATTTGTCGCACTCTACAAATTCGGCTAATAGCACGAACATTAACGTAAGAGCAGCAATGATTCATGTTATCGGTGATTTATTGCAAAGTATTGGAGTGCTTATTGCTGCATTACTTATTTTTTTCAATGTAAGTAAAATTTGCATTTTTTGAATTTGAAATTAAACAAATTTTTCGAATTTGAAATTAAGCAAAGTTAAGTGCAAATTAGCAATTAATATGAAATAAATGATTCAGATATTATATTTGCAGTGATTATTTTTTGTAACATAAGTAAAATTTACTCATTGAAGAAGTTAAAATTAATTTGCTAATTGTGCATAAATTTAATCAAATTAATAAGTATAATCAAATTTATAAATAGAAAAAGTTTGTGAATAATTATTATAAAGTATCTTAAATATTTTGAATAAAATTTGAGCATTCAAGCAAAATTTTAATAGATTTTTTCAAAAAAAAATTGTAAAGTATTTCTTTTTTGTTATAAATATTCATTTTGAAATCATAATTTAATTCTAATGAAAATTTGAAAATTTTTATATTTTTAGGATTCGTGGTCTATTGCAGATCCAATTTGTACGATAATTTTTTCAATCATTGTCCTTTGTACGACAATTTACATTGTTCGAGATGCAATGTTTGTCCTACTTGAAGGTTAATTATCAGTATCATATATTAAAAATTCTTTTTTTTTTGCAATTCTTTTAAAAACTTTAAAATTTAAAAATATTTTTTAAAAACTTTAAAATTTAAAAAAAAAATAAAATTTCATTTATAGCTAATAGACCAAATCACACATAAATATCTTTTCTATTTCTATGAACACAAAAAATGAAAGATGAAAAAAAGAGAAAAAAGGTTTTTTCAAAAAATTGAAAAAATAAACTTTGAAATATGGGATGAAATTTTTATTAAAACAGTAAATATTTACTGTAAAGAATAATTTTTTTTTTTAAAAAGAGGATTTCTGCTATATTAGATTAGTTTAATGAATATATTTATATATATATATATATATATATATATATATATTGAAAATATTAAAAGTTTGGTGTAAGTAAAAATTAAAATTAAAAATGCTAAAAGTAATAATTACGTTTAATTAATTGTCTGTGAGTGAAAAAAATGCATATTTTTTATTTTATTATAATTATTTTCATCAAAATATCTCTTAGTTACTTTCTATTATTCAAAAAAGTTAATTCTTATTTTAGATAATGAAAGTTTTTTATTATTTCACATTTTTATTTTATAAATTTATTCACAAATTAATTTTATCAAAAAATTAATTTTTCGTAATTCTTCCGGTAAACTAATTACTATTTTAGGTTCACCATCAAACATTAATTTTCGTACCGTATTTGATTCATTGGAGCAAATTAATGGCGTTGAAAAAGTGCATAATTTACGAATATGGTCATTAACGCTTGATAAGATAGCGATAAGTGTACATTTGGAAATTACACCAGGCGCAAATGCCCAATGGATTTTAAAACAAACAACGCAAATGTTACGAGATCAATATAATGTGATGGAAAGTACAGTACAAATTGAGGGTTATAATCCGGAAAAGCAAGATTGCAATCGATGCATACCGCCACCTTTATAATTAATTAAATTTGAAATGAATTTAATAACAGTAATACATTTGATAATACATTCAAATTTCATCAATTACTTATAATAATAAATAAGAAATGAAAAATTTAAAATTACAATTATTTAGTTAAAGTTTTAATTTTGGCGAAAATTCTTTATATTATTTTTATTTTTGGTTAATACAAATTTTATCTTACATTTTTTTATCAAAATATAATTGATTTAAAATTTAAATTTCAAGAAAAAACTTTTGTTTTTTGATTTTGCTATAATTATTATTGAATTTTATTTTGCATACAAGTTAGCATGAATTTTTCAAGCTCTAAATAAATTTACTATTTAGTTAATTAATGACAAAAATTTATTGTATTTTAAATTATCTGTCATCAATTATTATTATTGATACTATTATTAATTATTATATTTTTACGATCTAATTGATTTTTTTTTTTTTGCACAAAAATAATTGATTAGTAGTAACAAAAGCTAAGAAAAAAAAATTTTTAATTAATTTACTGCTTAAATATGATTAAATTAGCGATAGAAGGACTTGTTTAAGTCTTTCTTTACTTATTTTGTTCTTTTTAAAAAAGCATAAAATGCTTGTTTTTCTGATTTATTTCATTCTTCCATCTAAAAAAATATAATTTTCACAATTTTTCTTCTGCTTTAATCTTTCAAACAAAATGTTTATTTGTTATTATGAAATGATAATAGAATAAATTCCAAAAATTATTGCATCGTTTGATTAGCAAAAAAAAGAAGAAAGCACTGATACAATAAAATTAGAACATAAAAAGTAAATAAATAAATATTTGATGTAAACAATCTTACATCATGAATATTTATTAAATATTCTTACATCAATATGGCATGTTATTCATATAAAATATATTAAATACGTAGACAACGTGTAACGCAAGCGTCACGTAAGTTAATACGTAAGTTAATACAATGCACTTTTGCATTTTCTATTTTATTTAAGTAGAAAAAAAAAAGTAAAAGCTTCAGTAGCAACCGATAATTAATTACTAAATGTAATTAAATAATCATTTTATGCAGAATAATTTCATTAATAATAATAAATATAATAAAATTTAATAATAACTTATTTAATAACAAAATGAAATTTGATTTATTCAAAAAAGAGAAAGAAAATAAATAAATAAATAACAAAGAAATTATTGAAATGAGCACATTAATCACATAAGGCATATTAAATACAACGTGTATATAACGCAACGTGTACGTACGTGTATAACGCAAAAATCATTTCTCAGATTTTAGCAATAATTGAAACTAATAAAAATAGGGAAAGAATATTTTGATGAGTTAAAATGTTTATAAACACTTTTAATTTAAAAAATCGAAAAGTGAAAATGAAAACTAAATTGCAACGAATAATTTTATTCTAAAAAGGATAAATTTTAATGAATCTAATATTGGTAAATGATTTTAATTAATATTTAAGTATCTCATAAGCCATTTAATACGAAATAGTATTCTAGTTGTTCGTAATATTTCAAATTTTTTTTTTTTTTTTTGAAATTCAAATTTCAAATGGATTTACTTCAAATGTAACTCAAAAATAAATTACTCAAAATCATTATATTCGCCCTGAAATCTTTATTTTTTAATAAAATCTTGTTAAAAAAAGGTAGGAAAACTTATAAAAATAATGAAATTTCTATATCTCAATTAATAGTATCATACATAATTAAGTAAACAATTTTAATGATTACCAAATTCAACGAATTTGAAAACAAACAAACAAACAAATATCATCCAAAATAATAAACAATTTCTTATTTCCTAGCAATATTAAACTAAATTTGTTAAATGTTCTACCAGAAAAATTCAAACATTAGTCTGAATATGAAGTCGAATGTGCGTTGCTGCTGTTGTTGTTGTTGTTGTTGCTGCTGTTTGTATTAGTTCTAGTAGCTGTTGTTGTTGTTGTTGTTATTGTATTAGTTTTACTAGCTGTTGTTGTTGTTCGTACATTAGCATTTGATGAGCTAAATTTATTGAGTGCTAAGACAGTCTTCGCTAACAATGGAAGATTTCGTCGTTCCAAAATATCGGCAGAAGAGCATATTGAATTCTGAAAATTATTTTTTAATTTATTTTAAAAATTCCAAAAAAAAAAAAAAAAAAAAAAAAAAAAGGGTTCATATTAAATTCAGATTAATTTGAATGAATGCATTAGAATGTAATGAAATTAAAAATTTATTAGCAAATTTCTCAAATGCAAAATGTAACAAAAAAAAAAAAAAAAAATTGATTGACAACGAAATATTTCGTATTGTTTCATTGAGTTTCATTTCAAATCTGTCATAATTTATAAATCGAAATAACACAAATCTGATAATTGAGTTATTTTAGGGGTGGGGGGAGGGGGGGGGGGCATTTTATAAGTAATAAGTAATAACAAGTAGTAGGTGGTAACAACAACAACAACGACAATAATAATAATAAATAAATAAATAAGTAGAAAAGTAAATAATAATAATAAGAAGAAAATAAGTATTAGCAATAAAAGTAATTAAGTTAAAATTTAATTTGAAGGAAAACAAAATAACAGATAATATTATAAAATGTAGAAGAGAATATTTCATCAAAGGTTAAAAGTCAAACATTAGTTACATAAAATGAGAATGTACACTGATAAGGAAAAAAAAAATTTGAAATTGTCTCTTTTTTTTCCTAATTATTCATAAAATAATTTAATAAAATTATCGATTGAAATAATCACAAAATTTTTTTTTGTTTATGAAAAAATTGGAAATGTCTTTTCTTTTAAATAAGCAAAATAAAAAATTAAAAAAAAAAAAGAATGAAAAGAGAGAGAGAGAGAGAGAGGGAGAAAAAGAAGAAAGGAATGTATTTATCACATTGAATTTCAAAAAAGAAAAACAAAATTTTTTAAATTTCAATGAAATATACTACTAAAATTACAGTTATTATACATTGAAAAAAAAAAAATTAAATTAAGCAATTAATTATTATTTATAAATTATTTATGCTAATTCCACTGTAAATAAAATGATGAAAGCATGTATTTTTTGATGTAAAAGCAATAAATATATAATATTATAATCCTTTATTTAATTTCAAATTATAAAATTTATAAATAAGAAATTAAAAAAAAAACGAAAGAAAGAAAACGGAAAGAAATTGTTGCTAACAATTGAACAAGAACAAATATACATTGTAGTTACTAATTAATATTTTTCAATTAAAAATAGGAATGAAAATGAATGATTATTATTTTGTTGCACCACTAATTTAATTACTTTTTTATAATCATTTCAAAAAATTGAAATTTAAAAATAAAAGAAAATTATTTATTTAAGTTACTCATTTCATTCTTTTTTCTGCCTTTTATTCTTTACTATATAAATTATCAAAAAAAAGAAATTTTAAATATTAAATATTTTTTGTCAAAGGCTTTACATAAATACTTTTTAACTTGAATAATTAGAGTAAAATAAGGTTACAATTTATTTCAAATGATTATATTAGATTAAAAAAATGCAAAATATATGTTACAATTATTACAAAAATTGATATGATTAATCCATGTTTTTGTGACTTAATTAAAATGTTACGATAAATTAGTGTTAGATTTGAATTTTAAATTTAATTCCTAAATTTATCAAAAAAAAAAGTGTTGCAGGAATTTAGAAAAAGTTTTAAAAACTTTCATTTGAAATTGTATATTGTTAGCAAACAATTCATTAGCGATATTACAGGTAATAATCACCTGGATAAAATAAATTTCATTTAAAAATAGCAATACAATAAGTAAATTAAATAGTATTTAAACATATAATTATTGTATAATAAAAATGGTAAGTAAGAATGAAAATGCATGCATTACATAACACATAAAAATCACTTTTTTTCATCGATCGATCGATCGATCAATTAATCAATCAATCGATCAATCAGTGAATAAATCAATCATTCGATCAACGAATGAAAAAAAAAATTCTGATATCAAAATTTATAAATCAGTGCGAAACATAAATATGCGACGAAGACTGTTAGCATTGCATTGGCCAACATTCTATCGTTAAATTCAAATTGTAGTCGTCCTTCAAATAAAACCTGAAAACTTTTTAGCTACCAAATATTGCAAATATATTTTTGCTTCCAGAAAAAAAAAATCTTTTTTTTTTTCTATCACAGCCATATTTTGCACAATAAGTAATTATCAATAATTAATTCATAACATGCATACATGCATGCATGCATGCATGCAAAATTAAATTTCATGTAAGAAACACATATACATGCAAATTTAACAACACTGCAAACGCTATTGATTGATTGATTTATTTATTTTTTGTTAAGATAGATATGATAAAAAAAAATTCCTGAAAATTGGAAATTGCATCTGATAAGTGATTATTATCATTTTACATAATGGTTATTATCATTTTACATAATTATTATTATCATTTTACATAATGATTATTATCATTTTACACGATGATTATTATCATTTTACATAATTATTATTATCCTTTTACATAATAATTCTTATCATTTCACATAATGAATCTTATCATTTAACATAATGATTATTATCATTTTACATTATGTGATTATTAAGTGATTATTATCATTTTACAAATAAAAAAGCTGACAATTTTTATTTTAAGTGAAAAAAAAGTTTTGAAAACAAAGGAATATGCAATTAATTTGTGCAATTAATATTTGCAAATCTTTTTCACCCTCAAGTGCATTTAAAAAAAAAAAAAGTAAGTAGATTTTACGTGACTAAACTTCACGCAACTTACTTAAATGCAAATGTATTGCAGACCATTGCATGCTACATGCATTATACATTTCCGTCATAGTTGCAAACTTAAACATACTAATTAATTCACTTATAAAAAAAAAAACGTATAAAGTCATAAAAAATTAAAAAATTTAGAGATTTATAAAATAATGCAAAATTTATAATAAAACTTTTTTTTTTTTTTCAATTCAAAATAACATTTGATAGCTTGCAGTGTTCTTAATTTGAACGAATATTAAGAAATTATTATTATTATTATTATTATTATAATAAAAAAGATATAATTAAATAGAAAGAGGAAAATAATTAAATTTATTTCAATTTTTTTTTCTTTTTCAATAACTATTCTTTCTCGTTCTACAATCATTTAGCATTTTGTAATAAAGAAATTAGGGTCATAAGGTGACAATAAAGTGACAAAAATGTCAAGTACTCATTTATCAGTATGCATTGTATGATTTATTTCTTCTTTCTATGACCTACTGAATGACCTTGATGACCTTTTATGATCAGATAAGTTTCTTTTTTTTGTCGATTTAACAGGTAAAAATTACATTTATACTAAAGTGATGAAGAAAAGACGAAAAAACTAACAGATATTACTAATTTCAATTAAATTTTTAATTGATTAATTTAATCGATTATAGCAAAAGAATGATTAAATGTTGTAAAATTATAGCAAAAAATTTTTCATAAATTTTAAATTATTGCTAAACTGAACGATAAACAAATGATTTTCAGAAGTTAAATTATTTTCTCATCTTAAAATATTTTTATTAATTAATCGTCAATCATTGGATGAATTAATTAATGAACTAAAACCTCAAAGACTTTATTATTATTTATTATCTAAACAAACGATACAAAAAGAAGAACAAGAAAAAAAAAATAAAGGTTCATTTTTAAAAAACTTTTCCTTTCTTTGCTTAAAATGTATCATTAATCAGTTACATTTTTTAAATTGTAAAAATCAAATTTAAATAGTTATTTTCATTTGAAACTTCTAATTTTAGTAAAAAGAATAAAAAACTTTAAATAAAAAATAAAAATTTGAAATAGTAAAATAAAAAAACTTTGAAAATTTGTTATAATTTTAAATTACCGAGAAGAAAAAATATAAAACTTACTTGAATTTTCCGAAAAAATTATTTCCACAGGAAAAATTCATTAATAAAATGTACTATACCGTATACTCATTCAGAAAAAGAAAACAAAATCGCAACAACAATCACAACAATAACAGTAACAATAACAATAACAACGACAACCACAGTGACAACAACGACAACAACAATGACAACGACAACGATAATAGCAACAATGACAAAAACAAAGGTAATGAAACAATAATGAAATGACAATAATGCAACATAAAATACCGAAATGATTTTTTGCGCAATTAAAATTTAAGTTATATAAATTTCAATATTAGATGATTAATTTCACTGATAGAATTTAAATTTTTCTGATAGAATTTACATTTAAAAAGTTTCTTAATTAAATATAAATTAATTACAGGAATTATCTCACTTATATATATATATATGTATGTTATTCGATATTGCATTACTTATACATTTTTCACAGTTATATTTGACTATATGTGTTGATGTAAACATTTCAATTTTAAATTTTTAAGAATTTACCTCAGGAACGCCGATTCGTCGACATGCTGCCAAGAAACTATCAACGTTACGTCGACATTTTGGCGGTGACAATGGTAACTATAAAAAGAAAAAAAAAAATTAATTCATCGTTTTTCCTAAATTTTCCACTTCATGGAATATCAGAAAGTTAAACATTGATGATATTTAATAAGAAAATTTCAAATATACAAAAAATTAAAATCTTTTTGATCGTTTTGATCCCAAAATTTACCGATATTTTAATGATCTTAATGAATCAAATCAGAATATTAAATGATCGAAAAAAAAACGAGTAACTCTTTGGAAATCAGAAATGAGTAAAAAGTTAAAGTTAAAGCTTATTTATTAATCTAATCAGTAATAAACGTTAATAAATTGTGTACCAGAATTTGAGTAAATTTATTTTGTAATTCCATAAATCATAGCAGCCAAACGAGTCAAAATGATTTGAATAATTCGACAAAAATAATTTATCAAAATTTCGTTGAGAAAGTTAAATAAATTCAAAAAGACAAAGCCATAAACGCTACTGACATATAGCTTAATGGTAAGAATTATAAAGGTAAATTTAAATTAAAAAAAAATGAACTAAAAATTATTTACGTCATCAGAAACTGGCGTAAACAAACTATGTACGGCACGTAAACGTATTCGATTGGCGAAATTACATAATTTAACACCATCAGCAAGTGACGCAGATAACTGTGATCGACCTGATGGCAATGTTGTATTCAAACGACTTTCAAGAACCTAAGAAGAAAATATATATTAACAAAATTTTTGAAAAAAATGTAAATTCACAAAAAAATATTTATAAAAAACGAATTTGTAAAATTCTGTAAAAAATATAAATTTACGAAAAAAAAATTGTAAAGAAAAAGTAAATTTGTATGACTTTATAAAATTTTTGAAAGAAAATTACGCATAATTGCAGTTTAAAAATTTATTAAATTGTAACTGATGAACTGGGAAAAAAAAAATAAAATAACAATATGCGACAGTACTGCAATGAGAAAAAAATGACACTCTGTGATAAGATTATTCAAATTTAATTTGAAATTAAAAATTGATAGTTTTTTGTTGGATTATTTTGAGATTTTTTTTTTTTTTTTGAATTTCACAATGAAAATTAAAAGTTATATGATTAATTTCATTCAATTACTCTACTCAAACATTCACTTTAATGCATATCTTTTCATTAATTACTCGGAAAGAATGAATTTCCATTAATCAATCGATAATTTTAAATTAAAGAAAAAAAAATTGCTTGTCAAATAAACTTACTTTACGCATATTTTCCACAACATTACTAGTAATTACATTGGAACTAGTACCACTTATTGTTGTTGCATGACTAATCGGTGAACGATGTGATCTGGTACGTGATGTTCTGGTTGAATTATTTGTAGCTAATTTTAATTCTGAAAAATAAAAACTGAAAATTTAAGTTTTAAATGAAACTAAACATCGATATTTTAAAATTTAAAATTTATTGTTTTCAGGCAACAACCATCATAAATGCCATAGTGAAATTTAAAAAGTTTAAAAAATGCAGAATTTTTTTTTTTTTTTTTACAAGTGATTTTTACAAAATTTTTAATGCAAATATATGCATTAAGTGTAAAACTAATTTATCAGTGATAACATACTATCATTTGAACGTGAATTAGCTGGACGAGTAGAAACAGAATGACGTTTATCAGTGATAGTTCGATTAGATAATTGTTGATTTGTTGTTGATGAACGTGAGATTGATGCAGTAGGTCTGCTTGAGGATAAGCTATGTTCAACTTTAGCTGATGAAGTCTAAAATTTAAAATTAACAATTTAAAAGGTAAAAAAAGCTGAAAAAAAAGAAAATTTGAGAAATCATTGAAAAATCCTTATTAACATATTAATATTTAATTATTCAATTTTTTGTCATTAAGTTGAAGTTTAATGAAAATTATTAGGCATATTTTTGCTTGTATTACTAAATATATTTGCAAACAGTATAAACTTAATATTTGAAAATTTTGATTTAAAAGAAAAAAAAATCCTTAAATTTCATCTAAATTTATAGAAAGAAGAAGAAGAAGGAAAAAAAAAAATACTGCAATGGAAGATGATACGACATCCGACGGTGTGATAAAACATGTTGTTGTCTCGGAAGCGTTTACATTTCCGGTTGATGATAAAATGGATGCAACCGTTGAGACGGAATCTGTGATTAAAAAGCTACTGCCACCTGTAATGGAATAATTTCGGTTAAAATTTATATCATCTTATTGAAATTTTAGTGCTATTCTAGAAAAAAAAATTATTAATTAAACATACTAATTGCAATTTACATATAATTATTATTAAAAAAAAGAAAAAAAAAAATTAAAGTTAATAAGCAAATATTACAGAGCTGAATCGTTATATTTTTATATAAGTTAATTAATCTTCATTTTTTTGACAGAAAAAAAAAAAAACGGAACTATCTAGAAAATAGATATCAATATTATATTAAGATCAATTATAAACAATTTTTCCCATGTACAATGAATTAATCCTAATATAATATATAATTAAATTATAAATAAACAGAACATAGTCATAATATTTTTCAGCAAAAAAAAGTAACGAATTATCTCCAAAAAATGAAATCACTATTGTAATAATATTATTATGTTAAAAAGTCTAAAATCAATATTGTGTTAACATTAATTATAAACATAATGAATTCGAATAAAATATCAATAATATATTAAGATTAATTATAAACAAACCTGATGAATTTGAATCTTCGACAACTGGTGACAAAGATTTTTGATTTTTTGTTGATGTTTTAATAGAATGATTGGCACTTGTTAAAAATGATGAAAATTTTTCATCATCTGCACTAATGGTATCAATTTTTTCTGTTTCTATCAAATCTGAATTGATAATTGTTGATTGTGAATCATCGATCATTGTTGTTATATGTTGATCCAAAATATTGTGAAAGTTATTACTATTACTACCACTACTACCATTAGTAGTAGTACTAGTAATACTTATACTTATATTACTAGTATTAGTATTTCGTTGAGAATTTGCTGTGGAACATTGAGTGCAATGTTGATTATTTAATTTCTCTTCCTTTTCTTCAAATGAATTATTATTCTTAATATCAGGCATCATTCCATTATTTTGTCCTTTACTGTCATCTGTCTTAATTGTTTCTGAAAAATAAAAAAAAAAAAAAACTTAAATTAATAGATTAAATATGCTATGTAAAAATCAAAAAAAATTAGAAACAGAAAAAGAAAAAGAAAGAAGAAAACTCACCTTGGATTACGGTAGTAGCAGGAAATTCACTGCTGCTTACGGTAGCTGTCATCGGTGTAACGATAGCCTGAGGTCTTTGAGTAGTGGACGATACGGTAGATGGATGTGAATTGATAGATGAAGTAGTTGTGATTGAATTATTGGAATATAATTCATGATTGATTGTGATATGTTGTTGCTGATAAGTTGATAAGCTGCCTGATGCAAATGAATTTGTTGAAGTTTTATTAGCAGCTATCTAAAAAAAAGGCTCAATTTTAGTTTTCATTTAAAAAATTTAAAATTAAAAACTTAAATGCAAAAATGTACATGCATATGAAAGGAAAGTTACAAAGAATTAGAAAGAAAAAAAGAGAGAAAAAGGAAGAACAGATAATAATAATAATAATAATATTTGTAATATCAGGTATCATAAATATAATATTAAATGTAAAATATATAATTGAAAATTGAAAAATATTCCTTTAAAGAATTCATTTTTTTTTCTCGCTTTTTTTTTTATTCCTAAATTAAATTTGAATTAAAGATTCAAAAATTTTCTTTTCAAATATATGTATTATATTTAGCAATGCTAAACATAAACATTTTACAGCAGAAAGCTTGAAATGATGAATGTCGTATTACTATTTCATAAATTAATAAAAAAGTTATATTCCAATCCTCCAATAATTAATATAGAAAAAATAAAAATAAAAACTACTGCACTTTGTTATTTACTAAAAGGGCAAAGAAAAATAAAATAAAACTGAGAAGACATAATAATTAACTCATGCATTCTGTATTTAAACTAATCATGATGAATAATTCTGCATCGTTTATAATTAATTAATTTTCAGGAATTGACATGACAGATTAGAAAAATGAAGTAATAAATAAATAGTTTTGATAACATGCTTTAAGAAGATCTATTGTAAAACTTGCAAATGTAAAAAACTGGAATTTTCATTGAATTTAGACAATTTTTGTAAAAAATTTATTTCAGTCAAAAAAATTTTTTTTAATAAAAAGAAGAAAAAAAAAAATCAAAAATTTCTAATAAATTTAAAATGATATTAGTAAATAAATATTCATTACTTTTATCATACATGCCATAATAATACTACAAAATTTTTCCTTACTATTAATCAAATATGATAAGCTATTGTTGTTATAATTTGCTATTAGAAAAGATTTCAAAAATGTTTAAAAATTAATTTAAATTTGAAAAAGATAAAAAAGTAAAGAGAAGGTTAAAAAAGAAAAGAGAAATTAATAGGAAAATGCAATAGTTGATTGATAGAAGCCACACATTTGCTCAATTATTTATTATTTTTTCTTTCTTTTTTTTTTTTTTGTTTTTTTTTTTTTTTTCTTAAACTTACCTGTTTACAGGTCCAATAAATAGATAGAAAACAATAATAACAAATACTCAGATCAGATAAGATACTATTTTTTTGATTCACTTGTACATTTATGCCATTCCTAAAAATATGTATTAATCTTGTTTCATTGATTAAATCCGGATTGAAAAGAGAAAAGAAATTTCTACTATTATTATAAGCTAAATCCGGCTGAAAATATTTCTAACCTATCAGCCATTTCTTTTTTCCTTTCCTGTTTTGTAGTGTTTGAATTGATTAAAAAATTGATTGCTACTACGATTAATGCTTTTCCGTTTTCGGAGGAAGAAAAAATTTCTACTGCATACAATCATTCCGTTTTTTATTTTGATTAAATCCGGATGCAAATACTTCCATTGTCATTATTAAATTTCACATTTTTTTTTCTTTTTCTGGATTAGAAGTAATATTTATTTATATAATTATCAGTTATAGCTATTTTTTTTTTCATCAATTTAATCAAAAATCTTGCAAATACGTAAAATATCTAAAAATTTAATGATGAAATATATCTTTAACTTTTTCAAAGTCTCATTTGATAGATAATATTTTCAAGATCACCCAGCGATAAGCAGTAGTAGCATTATTACTATTATTATCAGTGATAATAGGATTAATATTTTGATGATATGATAAGTGATATGCAAATGAGGCGAAATGGAAAATTGTGCGAATAGAAAGAAAAAATAATGAAGAAGTAAATAGTTTGAAAAATTATCGTTTAGCAATATTTTCACAATTTCTCGGTGAAAGAAAAAAGAAGAGAAAAATCAATCCACTAAAATTTAAAAAAATAATTTTTTCTTTACAAAAAATAATTTTTTTTTCTTTACGATTACAAAATGAAAAAAAAAAAAAATGCAAAATTTACAAATTAGAAATGAAAAAAAAAAAAAAAATCACAAAAATAATTTGAAAAAAAATTTTTTTTTTTTTTTTAATACTAGACAAACGTTAACTGAGCATTTGTTTCTCAAAATATTTTTATGATAACAAGTTAAAATAAATTTATTTATTTTTATCTAATCATATCAGTAATATGAAATTAAAAAAAAGCAAAAATGCTATAAATATCTCTTAACTCTTATCATCTTAATTAGATTTCTTAAATATTTCACAAAAATTGAAAGTAATTGATGAAAGGGAAATGCAAAAAAAAAAAAAAAAAAAGAAAGATTAAGCAAAATAAACGATAGTTTAAAGATTTAAATAAAATAACTAAAAATAAACCTTTTGAGCATATGCATGCATCACTTCTTTTAATAGGTCACCATTAGTGTTCACAGTTGAATTGTCCTTTGACCCTACAGAATTCATAGCAACAATGGCTTCCCAATTAGATGATACTAATTTTTGTTGCTGTTGTTGTTGTTGTTGTTGTTGTTGCTGATAATAGTGATAATGATGATGTAAGTGATTAGTCTCATCAATATTGAATAAACAGCCAACTTGTGGTTGAAACTAAAAAGAAAAAAAGAGAGGAAAAAGAAAAAAAAAACAGGAAAATAAAAATTTAAATAAAATTAATGATAGAATAGTTAGTGTAAAAGATATGATATCAATATTTTGTGATACGTAACGAAATAGCAAATTATATTTGATAATATATTTTAAGTCTATTTAAATTTTAAAACTATTTAAATATTTCATTTCTTTTATACAAATACTATCGATAATTATCAATATCTATGATAAATTTTCGCTCACATATACATTCAACAAAATATATTACAAATATATACGTGTTACACGTAAAATCCCGTAGAAGAGCACGCAATACTTCAAATAAGAAATGATAATTATGCGTAAAAAGCAAAATTTAAAATATTTGTTTTTTTAAATGTCTGTTTCGTAAAAAAAAAAAAAAAAATTAGAATTTAAAAAAGGCAGAAATTATAAGCAAGAATTAATAAATGAATAAATAAAATTAGAAGCAAAAGAATTCTGATCAAAAAAATGGATTTAATAAAATTTCAAAAGTTTTTAGAATTCGAATTTTTTACAAGAGATAAATTTTTGAAAAAAACTTTTAACATTCATTACATTTGCAATGAAAACTTTTCGCAAATATAAATCTTACGTAATCATTTATTTTGGAACTTTATTTGTTACTGCAAAAAATTTTAATATAGTATTTATTAATTAAAAAATTGATATTGAAAGTAACCTCACGAGAATAACGATTTTCATCAACGGTTGACGCGTAACCGGAATCACTACCACCTACGGTATTAAAACGTGTCGCACGTGATCGTCTTTCAAAACGCAATTCATCACCAATATTTTCTATGCTGTAACAATGCATAGTAAATTTATTTGACTAAATTTATAAATCTATCAATACAATCATCTATGCATAATGAAATACCTGAAATACCTAAGTACCACAAACTAATTTCTATATTAATGATATAAATTACTTTTTTTTTTTTTTGTAGATATTATACTTGATTACGTATTTTATTTACAAATTAAGTATATTGATTTGTAAATAAAATACGTAATCAAGTATAATATCTACAAAAAAACTAAAAAGGTTAATTATATTGTTTATATATTCTCAATTATCATAATAAGATTGGAATAAAATTGAAATAACAGTGTTTTAAAATTGAAATAAAATTTCAATTTTTTTAAATTACTTTTTTAGAATGAAAAAAAGAAAAAAAAAATTTTACTGTTGTCCTTTTCTTAATGTTGCATTTATCGTTGTTGGTCGTTTAAATGAATGATTATAAGTTTTCATTGTATTATCAATTGATCGTTCACCGTGTGATCGCAACCATTTGAAAGCATGTTCACGTCCCTGAACAAATAACAATAATATAAATTAATTATTTTAATAAAAATTTTTGAAATAAATTAAAATTAATTCAAATTCAAAATTTAATATATAAAAAAGAATGTGCAGAATAATGATATTTTACAAGAAAAATTAAGAGAAAATATTGGATCAATAAACATTTATAATTTTTTTTTTCTTCATTTATACTTTCTTTCATTCATTTCCGTAATTTTTTTTTATGATTGTAATTGTATTTGCTTTAAACGATTATAAATTCAATTTAATTTTATCTAATTAAAATAGTAATTAATATTACTACTGATAATCACGATATCACTACATTATTATCACTAAAAATTCAATTAACATTATCCTATTTGTATTAATGATTAGCAAGTATGTATGCATTTGATTAGTCACTTTCAATAATTTAATTAAAATTCTAAAAGATTTAAAAAGATTTAATTAAAATTCTATTCTAGTAATATTTCCGGATATATATGGATTTCAACGTTTTGATGATATGCTTGATAATTAAATTTCATTTCCGGATATAAATGGATCCAACGTTTTGATGATATGTTTAATAAATAAATTTCTTTCCGGATATAGATGGATCCAACGTTTTGATGATATGTTTAATAATTAAACTTCATTTCCGGATATACATGGATTTCAACGTTTTGATGATATGTTAAATAATTAAATTTCATTTCCGGATATAGATGGATCTAATGTTTTGATGATATGTTTAATAAAAAGTTAATAATTAAAATAAATTTCAAAATAATTCATTTCTTTTAATGCTACAAACTAAATTCTTACTTTCTCACAAATTATTACTTTAATAAAAAGTTACCTTTGAACAAAGTTTAGCAGGTGGTGCTATAAGCGGATTAAAATCGATACGAAAATCGACCAATGTACACATATACCGTAAATCAAATGGTAATTCACCAAGTTTATTTTGCGATATATCTAATACTCGTAATTGTAACCGTGAAATTTCTGAAATTTTTAAAAAAAGTAAAAAAAAAAAAAACTAGTAATACTTATTAGAAAAAACCAATTATTAGTACATCGAATATTTTGCTAATGCTTTTGTTTTTTTTTTTTTCAAATATTTAACTTTAAGTAGGACAAATTATAATTTTTGAAATTATTTCATTCATACATTTATTTTAATTTAATAAAATGTATTAATATTTCTTAAATGGAATAATTTTCATTAACTGATTTAATTATTTTATTTTTGTTATTATTATTAAAAAAAGATGACATTTTTTCAATTGAAATTTGATAAATAAGTTTAGCAAAAAAAAAAAAAAAAAAACTTTTTTGACAAATTTTCCTTCTCATTTTAATGTTTTTTTCTTTTTCTAAAAAAAAACTAAGAGCAAAAATTAGGTTAAATTTTATAAAATTGCATAAATTTATTGCAACTATTATACGATTATTTTTCTCATTCTCTCTTTGCAAACTAATTTTTTTCTTCTATTAATTTAAATTTTTTTTTTTTAATTTAAAATTTTATTCATTCCCTTTTCTTTGCTAATGCAAAAATGTGCAGTGCTCAAGTGGTTAAATCAATAATCCACCAAATTATCTCGGAATAACCAAATTATATATATAGTCAACCTCATTCTCCCTTCTAAGCCAGATGGAGAGGCGCATCTATCTCATTTCAATAGCGCACATCAATTTCCTGCGCCACAATGAAGCTTCCCATTTCAATGTTAGTAATTATATATTTGGCTTATCATTCAGTTCGTATAGCTTTAACAAAGTTATTTCAAGCATATCAAAAATGTATGTCTGCTATTTAAATGACATATTTTAGAAAGCCACTTTCCGCTTAAAAGTCTCTTTCCGCCTTCTTTTTTTTTTTTATGTGCTGTTAAATCACTATTATTTAGTAAGATAAATTTCTTGGCCCCCTTTTTTTTTTAAAAAAAAAAAGTTATAAGTTAAACCAGCAAAAAAAAAAAAATAAATAAGTAATAAATATTTATCTTACTTATGTATATGTCACAATACTAAAGTAATGTCAATAAGTAATGTAATATATTTAATTGAATATTTGATAATAGAAGAAAATGAATTGAACAAATGATGACAGAAATTTGAATTCATAATTTTTATATTTAAAAAAAAAAAAATGTGAATAAGCAAAACAGGAATGGAACAATTATTTCATATTTTAAAACTGAATTGAATATATGTTACTGAAAGAGGAAATATGAAAAATAAATTATGTCTTTAAGGTTAGCGAAATTATTTAAATAAATAAAACCTATTTAAAATAAAGATAAAAGAAAAAAACGGATATGTTATTAATTAATTTATTGTTGATTGTGAAAATTTACCAATAAAAAAAAAAAAAAAAAAAAAAAAAGGATTTATTAGATTTAAGTAATTAGCGATTTGAAAAGATATAAAAAAAAAAAAAAAAAAAAAAAAAACTAGCAAAATAATAAGAAAATGATTAATTTAATCTCATCCAATATTCATTTCATTTTTTTTTTTTGCATATTAATTTCAAATTTTGTAAACAAAAACAATTTAAGATAATAGTTTCAATCAGAGGAAAATATTTCTTATTTCTTATTTAAGATATATTTAAAGTATCAATCATTTTCAGTTTCAAATAATCAAATTTTTGACTATTTCACAAAATTTTTTTATACTGTCCCATATTTACAAACACATTTAAATTAGTCAATTTGAATTATTTAATTGCTTTTAGTATTGTCACATCTTTTTTCTTTTTTTTTTTTTTTAATTCTAACAATAACAAAAATAATTTTATACTAATATATCACATTGAAATATATACTTACATGTATGTGTGTATGTGTGCATGTATGTATGTGGATTCATTCTTTTAAAATAATCAATGATTAAATAAGTTTGAAATTCATAAATAATTTAATAAACCTGAAGGCAAATGAGTAAGTTGATTATCTCGCACATTGAGCACTCGTAGCGATTTTAGCAAGGCGATATCAGCTGGTAAACTTTTTAATTTATTGCAACTTGCATCCTGCAAATATTCTTTTATCAAAAAATTAGCCAGCATCGAATTAATAACAATCATTTAAAAGAAACTTTTAATTTCAGCTATACAATTTTGTTGTTGGGATAAATATCCAAAAAATAATACATTTACCATAAGCAATGATAATATTTTACTTCTAAATTTGTTATTTTTCAATTTCAAATTTTCATATTTATTCTACTTAATCAAGAAAAGAATAAATTATAAGAGATAATGTATTGATTGATAGTTTAATGATATTTAAAAATAATTTTAAATTAAGATTACTCTATAAAATTGCTGCATAACAAAAATTAAAATATTCGAAAAGATTAAAATTACCATACATACCAATTCACGTAAGGAATTCGAAAGTTGACGTATTTCTCGTGGAATGTACTCCAATCGATTACCCGTTAATAGCAGAATTTGTAGAGGCATAGAAAATAAAGCCGATGGGATGTTCATCAATTGATTACCACTATAAATGAGCAAAGAATTATTAATTTAATTGCGAGAAAAGGATAAAATTTCAAATTTATGCTTTTTTGTAAAGCCGAAAAATACTGAAATCTTATCGCTGTACAAATCGGCGGCATAAAGCTATCACTATAATTATTATTATTATTATTTATTATCATTACAATTATTAGTATTACTATTATTAACTACTACTAATAATAATCATTACTATTATTATCATTATTTATCATTATAATTGATAATATTATTGTCAATATTACTAATTATTATTGTCATTATCTATTATCATTACTGTGTTATTATTATTGTTTACTGTTATTATTATTTATTATTATTATTAATAGAAAATAAACAACTGCTACTGGCAATAATTTGATGTGTACGATTATTGATTTAGTATAATAATTGTAATAAATGAATGTTAAGGGAGAGATTGAAGTGAGCAAAAGATAAACTAAAATTTAACTTTAGCATTTGCATCAATCATAGGATGATGAGTGATAGTGATAGGAAAACAAAATAATAACAAATAAAAATATTTATAAATGTCAATCATACTTTGAAAATTTTTACTTCTTAATTTTTAAATTATTTAAGTAATTGAATAATAATCGAACCTTTATTCTGTTCAAATTTTGTTTTTTTTTTCTCGATTTTTGAATGGTTTTTATTTTTTTTTTTCAAAATATAATAAAGAAAATAATAGGAAGTAAAAATTTTTATAAAATAAAAAATTTTAAAAGTTAGCAGATAATAGTAATTTGCCATGCTGCTAAAATTACCATACTGTAGCTAATTCTTCTTTTTCCGGAAACATTTAACAATTGAGAAAAATAGCTTTTTGGACATATATATCATAAAATATATTTAAAAAAAAAAAAGAGAATATATGAAAGGAAAGAGAGAGAGAGAGAGAGAGAGAGAGAGAGAGAGAGAGAGACTACTGTCAACAATAAACGATTGACTATGATTTCTATAAAAAATGAGAAATATCTAGCTATTAAAATGAGCAATTAGCACCTTTTTTTTTCATTTCCAGTATGAAATAGGAAAAAAAATTTATACTTTAAATTGAGATAAGTAAACGATTACCTTAAATTGAGATAAGTAAGCGATTACCTTAAATTGAGATAAGTAAGCGATTACCTTAAGTCGAGATAAGTAAGCGATTACCTTAAATTGAGATAAGTAAGCGATTACCTTAAATTGAGATAAGTAAGCGATTACCTTAAGTCGAGACAAGTAAGCGATTACCTTAAATTGAGATAAGTAAGCGATTACCTTAAATTGAGATAAGTAAGCGATTACCTTAAGTCGAGATAAGTAAGCGATTGAAGTAATTGTACAGCCGAAGGGATCGAACGTAAACCCGTATTACGAATCCGTAACGTTTCCATCGAACACATCTCGCAGATGCATAATGGTAGATGTACGAAACGATTATCACTGAGATCTGTAATAGAATTGCGATGTCATTTGTTTCCGATAAAATTAATTCAGAAACGTTTTTCCGGAGATATTAGATTCTAATAAATTTCTAATTATTCTAAAAATGAAGTTGATATAACCAAACTAATAATCACATAATATATTAAAAATTTTAATTTTTTTATTTTAATTTAAACCAAATTAATATTCAATTAAAATTTTAATAATAATATGGTAGTAATGAATAGCAATTACTAATTAATAATTAATAATAATTATAATGATAATAAATGACAACATCAATGATAATAATAATAAATAACAAAGGTTGAATTAAAAAAAAAATAAAGTCTAAGGAATATGGATAATTGTAGAATAAAGATCGAAGAATGAGGTTTAATGAATAAAGATTAAAAAAAAAAAACAGAGGTCAAACATTAAAGAATAATGAACAAAGATTAAAGACTAAGAAACATAGAATAAAGAACGAAAACCTGAAAAGAAATTCATGAAACTTTGTTTTAGTAAAGTGAAGCAAATTGATGTGTGATAAAATCAGTGTTCGTTTATAAAATGTACCATTAAAAAGAAGAAAAAAGGAAAATAATAATTTCAAATATATTTAAAATATTTTTCCTCAATGTAAGATTAATAAATTAAACTATTACATTTATTAAAACCAAATATTTGTGTTTTTCTTTTTTCTTTTTATTTTTCCTGCTTTAAGCATTTTTTTTCATTTCTGTTTCTTTCATTTTTTATTCTGTTAATCTTACTTTTTTGTTTCCCTCATATTTCATTCATTTCCTATATAATTAGAAAATATGAAAAAGAAAGGGAAAAAAATTTTAGGGAAAGTACAAACAGCTGCAGCTGCAAATTAATTTACATAAAGGAAATATTATAGAATTGATTTTTTTTCTTTTTATTTTCAACAGCAAAAAATGAAAAACATAAGATATTTAAAATAAATTCTATTTAAGTTAGTTATTTATTCAAATTTCATTTTTAATTAATATATGAATTCATTTATAACAAATTTCTCTTTTTACCTTTATTATGAATAAGCATTTCATAAATTATGGAAAGATGAAAAAGCAAAACGGAAAGTTTTTCTGTTTTTTTTTTTTTTTTTCTGCATTTAATAATATATATAATATCGTATAACATAAAATCGAATAAAGAAGGTATAAAATTTAGTTAAAATACCATATTATAGTGAATATAATTTAATAAGACTAGAATCTAAATAATAATAATAATAATAATAATAATAATAATAATAATAATAATAATAATAATAATAGAAATTCTTAATTTTATTTTGCAAAGAAATTTCAATGAATGACCGAAATTTTTTAAGTGAAGAGGAAAATTAATTTTTACATTGAAATTTAATCATGCAGAAGCAAAAATTTTAAGAATTTATTGAAATGGAAAATTAATGCAAAGTTCCTAACATACCAGCAGAAATAATATCAGATATTTCATATTTGATAGCAAGATGTACCGGAAATTCTTTCAATTTACGACCAGCTAATAACAATACACCGCTTAATTCTGCTTCTTCAAACATTTTATCCACCGATCGAGTTAGCAACTAAATTCAAAGAAAATTGGAGAAAAAATCTTCTTTGGAAGTAATTGCATTAGTTATTATTGACCTTAAAAAATTAGCAAAAATTTCAAAAAATACTAATTGAATATTTTTAAAACCAAAAAAAAAAATTTTTAGAGGTCATTTGAATTGTCCGCAACGGATGAATTCTATTGAAAGGTATTTGTCTATTACAAGAGAAAGAAAAAAAAATGCCAAAAATTTTATTAAATTTATTGCTAAAAAATATTTGATAAAAAAATAATTACCTGCTGCTGATATGATGTCGATGGTATAGAAGTTGGTGGAATTATTGGAGCAGTTGTGGCCGTTACGCCACCACCGCGACGTTTGCGCCACGTAGATGCCGTTTCGAGTTATTAACTGAAGAAAAAGTGCTGTTTATGTGAGTTTTCGCTATAAAAATTAAATTAACTATAAGCGCAAAATGTATTAGAAATTTAAGAAAACAAATTGAACATATCGCACTTATTTTCTTCAATATTAAATTGATTCAATTTAAATGAATTCATAAAGAACAACCGCCCTGATAGATTAATTAATCAGTTAGTTAATTCATCTAATTAGTGATTAGTTACTTATCAATCTAATTAATTCACAAATTAACCTATGTTTCGAGAAAATAGCACTTTTCTTATTGGTCTGCAAAAAAAAAAATATTTCTGAAATTTTTTGAAGCAATCAGAAAGAAAAGAAAAGATAGGAGATTGAAAATTTGATGAGTCATACAATTCGTTTTTCTTCTAAGTTTCAATCTGTTATCTAATTTGAAGGCAGCTAATGAAAAGCTGCCCATTGCACGGTGAGTCATCACCGCTTTTTAAATTTTTTCCTGATATAAACGAAAGATAAATTTAATTTTTCCAAACATTCAACATTTAATTTACATAACTTCTTTGAATATATTCCAAAATTAATTGTAACAATTTGGGTAAGTTTAATTAGCAACAATAATTTAATTTTATTAAAATCATGGAATTATGTTTATTTGTAATTGATATCGGTGGAAAATTCTATGCATTGGTAGTAATATTAAAGTGATAGGATAGTTTATAAAATGAATAAAATAAATGAAAATCTAATTAGCAGTATAGAATCTTAATTATACCATATATTTATATAAGTTTTCATTCTTTTGAATGGAATAAATAAGAGAAAAAAAATTGGAAATGAATGAATTAAATTCTTATTCGGTACATTTACTGAATAACTGCTGCTGTCAATCAGTTCTTAATTCCGGTAACAAATTTTATTTTTCCGTACTTTGAACTGAATTGATAAGCAGCATATCATTAACGCTTAATTATTAAATTTGAGGGAATGAAAATAATAAAATTTATAAAATAAATTGAAATGGCAGTATAAAATCGGAGAGAAAATGAATAGGGCAAGAACGGAATTTAAAAGAGGGAAGAAAGAGGTGAAGATAAGAGAGAGAGAGAGAGGGAGGGAGGGAGGGAGAGAGAAATGGAACAGGAGGCAGTAGTAATGTAAATTAGTAGTAATTAATGATTAATGTATGACAATTCATGAATACATTTAGTACAAATTCAGCTTCTCAATATCTTTGCTTTTAATTTATCCATTATAAACATTTCTATAATTTTAGTAAATGAGAAGAAATTAAATAATTAAGTGACTGGTTTGATCAAATAATTAAGTATTTATAACTGATTGAGTGAAATAATTGAAACAGTAGCATAAAATAATTAAATGAAAAAAAAAAAATGCAAAAATTCATTATTATAGCATTTCAATTTGTTTTAATTCGAAATTTATTCAAAATGATTATTACGAAAAAAAAAAGGTTAAATTTCTTGAGTTAATTATAATTTTGAACTTTTTTTTAAAAATTTTTCAAATGTAATAAATTAAAATAAAATAAAAAAGAAAAAAAACTGTGTAAAGAATTTTGAAATTTCGTAGTAAAGTGATGAGAAATCATTTGTCAGTTGAAAGTTTCCGATGTACTTTTAACGCGATGAACAAATCTTTTCTTTTGTCAATTCATTTTACAAATTTGTAAAATTGGAGCAGGGTGGAGCAGTTGGTAAAGTCCATTAACAAATGATTAAAAAGAGTGAAAATAAGATCGATATAATTAAATTGTAAAATTTGCAAAGTCTAATAAATAATGAAATGGTAAATGATAGTATCTGACCAAAGCTTACATTTTACTCCTAAATTAACCAAATTATCACATTTTTTCCCATTAAAAGCATAAAAAATTTTACTTCCAATTCTGCAATAGAAAAAAAAAAGAGTATAAATTCCAAGTTTTATAAAGAATAAAATTAATTTTTATTCCAAGAAAAAAAAGTTATTTTTGTTTCTTATTCCAATTTTTTTTTTTTTTTTTCGTATTTGGTAATTTCTTATAAATCGATGAATTTGCATTTAAAGGAAAATATTCAAAGTATAAGGATATAGAAAACAATTTTTTTTAATCCATTATTGTGTATTTGAAATAATTAATAACTGTTTTTATTTTTTAGAATAATTTAACAAATATATTTATCATACTAATTTCAATATTAATTTCACACTGAAAATAGCATATAATGGAAATTTTCATAAACTAATTTCAACCATTGCTAATTTTCAATTAACATTCAAAATAAAATATTGAAAGTTGACAAACAATCGAAATATTCATTGCATAAATTAAATGAAGTGAAAATATTGGAAAATTTTACAATGCAATAATTTTCATTTATTAATAAATTTTTTAAAATAAATACAATTTTATTTAATAAAATATAATTCGAAAAAATAAACTTAATCAAAAAAAAAAAGTTTATTTTTAGATAAAATCAACAACAAAACAAAATGTTTTCTAATGTGATAAAATAGACATTCGAGAAAGAAATAATTAAACTCATCAATAACAATAGTAATAGTAATAAAACAAATATTATGGAATGCAAATAATATGTGAAAATATTTTTTCTATTTTAAAATTATTTAAAAAAAAAGAAAAAAATATACAATGAAAATATTCAATTGCATATTTCTTAGCATTTATTTCACGCTTTAATTCAGATAATTTCACGCTTAAGTTGAGATAATTTTAGGTTTAGTTGGAAGAATTTTACAGTATATGCATGCAATTTATAAATGCGTTATTTAGCTTTTTAAAAAAGACACTGAAAATTTTGTAGTGTATATATAATCAAAGTTTTACGTAACTGATATACGTTATATACGTTAAAAAAACGTGTGCGAAAATGACGTTGGCTATTTAATTGAAGCTTTTTTGTTTTTTTTAAAAAATTTTTTTGCTTTTACAAAATTTATCAGGAAATAATGAGTGAATTATTTATTACTATCTACTTCTGGAATAAATATTAATCTTTACCATCAATTTACTCATCACTTCATGATAATTTACGTAATTTCAACACTCAAAAAAAATAAAAAAAAAAAAGTTAAAATGATATCTTTGTGCTAATTTTTGAGAAGACATAAGATAAAAATATTTCAATTAGCAAACGAGAAAAAAAAAATGAAAATATTAAATGACATCATCCAGATTAAATCAATAATTTCAATAAATTATAAAGAAAAGAGAAATGAGGCTAATATCTCAATTTTCTGCAAAAAAAAAAAAAAGGAATCAAAGATTCGTTCAATTGAAAGAGGAGCATTGGAAAGTGATAGAGGCAATCTTGTATTCAAACATATGTGTTTCTGTCTGTCTGTATGTATGTGTGTGTCTGTGTCATTTAAAATCTGTGACACACCTATGGCGACATATGGCGACACATATTAATTAAATATTTGAAAATGGCGGGAAAGGGACTGTTTTTCAGGAACTGAACTGAATAATAAATTCTTCCTGATTTTGCAATTCTTCTCCATTACTTTTATCAAATTGAAATAAAAAATAAAATTGTAATACTAAAAATGAATTAAATCTAATAATAATTATACTAAAAGCAAAATAATTTAATAATAATTATAATAAATGATAAAGACAATAATGATAATAACGATAATAAAACAAACAAAAAATAATTATGCTAAGAGCACAATAATTAAATCAAGAAATTATGAATCAAAAAATTAATAATTAATTCTATTTCAATAATTTCAGAGACGAAGATTTTATTATTTAGTTAAACAAAATTCAAAAAAAGGGAGAGTTTTAATATAGTGAAGGAAAATAAGAAAAATAAAAGAAACTAATTGTCAATGACACGAAGAACTTTTTTAAATGTATTGCATTACTTCCAAAATTTGCATATATGTGTATGTGTATGTGTGTGGTGGGTGTGTGTGAGTATGTGTGCACAGTATGCTACGTTATCATAAAAGAAAAAGTTAAATATAGGCGATAAAGCTTAAGTAAACAAATTAGCCAACGGTATGAATTGAAGTGGACAAAAGAGGAAATGGGTGACAATGACTGTTGTATATGTGTAAATATCAAATTAGAAATTTGATTTGAATGACATTTCTGAGTTAACATTTTGTGTAATTAGTAACGAATTCTTGACGAGAAATTTGATTAAAAGAAAAAAAAAATCGGTTAATGTAATATAATGAACAAATTTTTAAAAAATGTTGTTGAAAAATGCAGAAAAAAAAGGGAGAAAAAACGAAAGATCAAAAAGTATTTAATTCAATTTTGAAGTAATAGCACAGATAAGCAAAAAGTGATAAAATTACCATTGATAATTTTGTAGTTCAAGTTATAAAAATTTTGCAATTACTGGAAAAGATTTAGATTTAGACAATTTATTAAATTCTTGACCAATCATGATTATTTATTCAATTCTTGATCAGTCATTTTTTATTTATTTATTATTTTAAGTAAACACTTCATAGAAAAGGAAAAAGTGACATATTTATGAAATTTTACACTGAATGAAATATCCTACAAAAGAAAAAAGAATTTAAATAATGGATTTGATAAATTTTCAAATTATCAAAATACAAGAAGGCATATATATATC